TCACTCACTCACTCACTCACACACAGGTGTTATACTGAAAGACATGTGCGATCGGATGCGTGACTCAATTGATGGCCAGAAATCTAAACACAAAGTCTTTCTCTACTCTACGGTAAACATTATATCAATACTAAAATGTTTACATTTTTACCATATTTTTTGTTCGTATTTATTTAGCACGACTCACTGCTATCTGTGTTGCTATCGGCGCTCAACATCTACAACGGCATACCTCCGCCATACGGTCTGATCCAAAACTTTTACCCTAATGTTTTGCTAATAACTTAACCTTATTTCCTACCCTCCCCTATAGGATCGACTATTATGTTTGAATTATACGAAATTAATTGCGGTGATGATCACAAGACAAGTGATGGTAAACAACAATTGTCTCCACAATCACAACAACCAATTGGTCACAGACTGGAAGTGCATTACTTGAATGTCACCGAATCGGAGAAGTCATATCTCCTGGCCGTCAATGGCTGCGCGTTTGGCACACGAAATGAGACAATGGTTTGCGATGTGAAACACTTCTTGGATTCGATGAAGACATTGATTGTCGACAATTGGGACGACGAGTGCAAAGACACGTATTGGAGGCGACTCTTCCGGACCATTGAATTATAGACTCATTTTATATAAAGTTTGGTTTGGTTTGTCAAACAATTTGATATTTTAACGTAAAATATTATTTATTGTTAGCAACTATATTTATTATTATTTTAATTTATAAAAGTAAATTATAAAATATCATTGGGATTTTTATAAATAGATATACAATTTAAAGTAATTTCATATAATTTGTTATTTTATATACAAAATAATTATAAAGTATAGATATGAAAATCATATACTATTATTAATAATAGTCTATTAATACCATTAAAAATATTATAATATCTATGGATTATCGTTAAGTGACGAAAGCATATCTTGGTAATAATTACCAACCAATAGACATTAAGAGTTTAGCTATTCAAATATGATTCAAATATAATTGGAAAATATGAAAATTCAATCCAGCTCATTTGTTGACCGTCTAATGTCTTTGACAAACCTTAAACCGACAGTCTTTCTCTATATAAATGGACTCTCATTACTTGACTTAAAAAAGTTTGCACATGAATGCGTGCCTGTTTTTGTTAGAATATGTTTTAAATTGGTAACAAATTAATAATAAAGTAATTATTATGATATTTGCAATTACAATTACTATAAATAGACTAAAATCAAAATGTTTTCACTACAAATAACATACAAAATTTACAGATTTTATTATATTCTAAAATAACTTGTTAAAATTACATCAGAATTAGAAAATGCTTTCAAATATTAATTTGTCTTATCCATACCTCTTCATTAATACTTAACTTATCTAACTCAGTGTAATGATAACATAATAACTTTTGACCGGATAATTTGATTTTGATCCTGTTTTCCCCAAAATAATTAAGTTTAATGAATTTTTTAAAATTTTTACATAGGCATAATGTTAAATTTTTTTTTAAAAATCAAACTTATTTTTGATGAAAAATTCCATGTAGGTTTTATGTAATTTTTAATGCTGAGTCCGAATATGATATTATAAAGTTTGTATGGTGAACTTATTTTGAGTTATTGATCTTAAGACTTTAATTAAAAATTTTAGATATATATAATTCAAAGTTTTAATAAATCAAATTAACATGGCTTTCTCTAAGTTTCAATATTATCAACATAGTTTTAAAATTGAGTTAATATTTTTATTATTTTTTTACTTTAAAAATTATTTACAAATACAATTAATTAAATAACTCAAAATATATTCAAGATACAAACTTTTTAGTA